TTCGTCGACCATGAAGCAAATACTGTTGAGAACTAGCCAATATTAAATGCAAAATGGCCATGTACTTGCATCCAGGTACGTGTTAAAGAACCATAGATTGTCCCACATTGTCTAGTCTTTGTTTGTGCGTGACCACCTATAGTTCCACCTTTGCAAACTGCCCACTACTTCATCCTTGCAAACATCCCACTATGCACCATCCCCGATCCACCACTTCACCCACCATAAAGTCGTTATAGTGAAGGGGGAACGGAAGCGGCGTATAGCTATCACTTACGAATTGTAGAATTTCTTGTATAAATATACACAGTATTTGTATATATAACCCTCCAGCGCTTCGCCCCACTCATCATCATTCCCTCCTCGGATATGCTGTGATTTTTTTAACCTCTTCGACCCACCTAACTTTCTGTCTCCCCTCATGCGTTTGACTTCTCTGGGAATCCAGTGAGTTACCCTTAATGACCAGTGGTTATCCTTCCTACGTGCCTGGCCCATGTCCATTTCTTCTTGATTTCAACTATGATATCCTTAATCCCGATTTGTTGCCTGACCGACTCTGCACTCTTCTAGCCACTTTCCTATCATTTTCTTTTCCATCACTCACTGCGTCGTCCTCCATTTAAGCTGTACCCTCTTTGTAAGTCTCCAGGTTTCTGTTCCGTAGGTGCACCGGCAAGATGCAGTTATATACCTTATTGGTGGTTAGTGGCAGATCTCCATTCATGATTTGAGAATGCTTGCCGAATGTGATCCACCCCATCCTTGCTGCTGTTTTCTGCCGAGGCGGTTGCACATTACTTTAGTTTCGTGCATATTAATTTTAAGACCAACTTTTTGCTTTCCGTATCCAGTTCTGTAATCATGAGCTGTAATTCGTCCCCGAGTTCCTCATCAAGTCAATGTCATCAGTGGTTCGCAGGTTACTAAGATACTCTTCATTAACTCTTATTTATAACTCTTCATATCTAGGGTCCTGAAAACCTCCTGTAAACACGCGGTGATTTGCACTGGAGAGATCTTGTCTGCCGGCCTTAAACCTGGTTGATAGTATGAATATGCTCTATTGTGGAGTAGCCTGTACGAAATCCTGCTTGGTGCTTGGTGGTTGATTGAACTCTAATGTCGCCTTAATCCTATTAGCTAATAATTTTTGTAAATATTTTGTAGAGAACAGACAGTAAGCTGATTGGCCTGTCATTTTTCAAATCCTTGAAGTTTCCCTTCTTATGGATTAATGTGACATTGGCGTTCTTCCAAGATTCTGGTACCCTTCCTGTCAAGAGACACTTCGTATATAATGTGGCCAGTTTTTCTAACACAATATCTCCGCCATCTTTCAAGAGGTCCGTTGTTACCTTATCCTTACCAGCGGCTTTGATTCTTTGCATTCCTTCTAGGAATTTCCTTACTTCCCTTGTCGTTACTGTTAAGATGTCGAATTCCTCTGAACTATTAATGTTTCTCACGATATCACCCTGGTGTTTCTGGTTTCTGTACAGCTCTCTGTAGAACTCCTCCGCCACCTAGACTATCACATCCATATTGGTTATGACATCGCCTTCCTTGTTCATAAATGCATACGTCTGATTTTTGCGTCTGCACAAGTTATCTTTCACATCTTTTAAGCTTCTGCCATTTTTTAAACCGCCCGAATTCTCTCCATGTTACTCGTTCTGGTGTCGGCTACTTTACGCCTATTGATTAACTTCGAAAGCTCTCCTAGCTCTATTCTGTCAGTTGCATTTGAGGCTACCATGGTTTGTCGCCTCTTAATAGGATTTTTCGTCTCCTGAGATAGTTTGCCAGTGTCGTGTCTGGTAACTGTACCTCCGACTTCCATTGCACACTCTTTGATGATACTGGTAAGATTATCGTTCATTGTGTCAACGCTAATGTCGGTTACCTCATTTAGTGCTTCGAATCTATTCTGAAGAAAAACTCTGGTGTACTTTCCCTCTCACCACTAGTTCATTATTAAGCTTATTGCGTATAAGTTTTTGTCTTTTCATTTAAATCAAGGTGAATACGAGCTCTTACTATTCTATGGTGACTGCATCGGATCTTGCTAACTACTTCTACATCCTGTACGATGCTGGGGTGTGCATACAAAAGTGAGGTCTCTTTCATATTTAGTTATTTAGTTTCACCATTAGGAATTCGCAACGTCCACTTACGGTTAACTCGTTTCCTGAAGAAGGTATTCAAGATCCGTAAATTATTACGTCCTGCAAACTCTACTAACAACTCCCTTCTGGCATTTCTAGAGCCGATGCCATATTCCTCCACTGCACGGTCTCTGGCCTGTTTCTTGCCTACTTTGGCATTAAAGTCGCCCATCAGAATAGTATACTGAGACTTTACTTTACTATTTGCTGACTCTACGTCTTAATTGAAGCGTTCAATCAAATGATCATCATGACTCTATGCAGGCTCGCAGACCTGTACCACCTTCATTTTGTACCCTTTGTTACACTTATTCATGATACTTGCCACGCTCTCACTGACGCTATAGTACTTGTACATTTTGCCAGCGATATTTTTGTGTGTAAAAAACCACAACCCTAGTTCTTTTCTGCCAACTAATTCACGGTAGTATAGGACGGGCCCGTTCTTCAGCAATGTATAAGCCTCACGTGTCCTCCTCACTTCACTGAGCCCTATTACATCCTATTTGCACCCTATAATTCCTCAAATAGCACAGCTAGACTAGCATCACTAGATAGCGCTCTAGCGTTAAACGTAGCCAAGTTCAGATTCCAATGGCGGCCTGTCCGGACCCAAAGATTCTTAGCACCTTCAGTTGCGTCGCAGGTCAGACCGCCACATTGGACAGTTGCCTCGCATTGTGAGTGATGCAAACTCGTCATTACTTTCGCACGAATTTCTTGCCTTTCGCCGCTTTCTAGAACTATAGGAAATAGTTCGCTCCTTACCTTTTCATCCAGCGTTATTCGGCTAACCGTAGGTGTAATTACTAGTACGTATATCTGACTCCCGACTGAGGGCCATTGTCTAGTTCTATATCTATTTACTAGAGTTTTAATTACTATTACCAAATGCCAACAAAATAGGATACAGCCTTAAAGGCAGCGCCTGCCTATTTTTCAGCACTTAGAAACTTTTCGCGTTTAATTTTGACGCACTCCGACCACGCGCGACATATACGTTCAACGTAACTATGACATAGAAGTAGCCGATTAGCTCGCAAAACAGGAGCGCGGAACTTGTCAGTTGTCAGGAAACGTCATGTCGAAGTGCGACCACTCGAGGCAAAACACCGATATTGCGGAAATTTTGAAGCCAACAATGTCACAATCGAGCGAGACAGGAAGAATTTAGGAAATAAGAAACGCGTGAGAAGAAGGGTCAACCAGAACACTAAACCGGCCGAAGTTCGCATGGTTAGAGGCTCGAAACCACGCCGTTTTTATTATTTTCTTTGTTTTTTAATGGCTTTCAAACAGTTAAGAAAAGAAGGCCAGGCGAGCTACGAGTCAGGTGACGTTTGGAGCTGATAGGTGGTCATGTGGTATTCTACAGCGCTAAGAAAGTGCAACAGAGAGTACTTTGAGATAGCGCAGTAACCTATAAGCATGTAATGACAAAATTCGATTCGAATGCAGATACTGGACCATTCGAAATCGTATATTTAGTTAAAACGCGTGATGAAGTAATCGTTAAAAAAAGAAAAAAAAAAGAGGTGTAAAGCGCAGCCTCACTGGCGACCACCTGCCAGTAATGCACTCCCTCACTAGAGTAGTATTTGTCACCCTGGTGCAGTAACTGTCCACAACCTCTCAAAAACACAACAATTAATAATGCATTACCTATCGTTCAAGTAAGTATTAGCACGAGCGCGTCTCCATGTCCTCTTATTTTCTGTGAAATGTGTCGACCTTAATGGTGCGAATAAATTATGTATATCACTGAAGTGCCAGCACGAGCTATCTGCGCTTCAACTCCATATTAAGGTCAGTATCGTCGATCACAGAATTCGAGGCCTTCACGAATTAGTAAAACGGTTATCAAACCTGCTGCCTGGCACCCTCAGACCCATTATATTAGTTTAGCTTATCATGCGGAGGCCTAATTGCATGATGAACGTAAGTGGCGTGGTTGGAAATTATTCATATTTATTTCATTTCGCAGTTAAAATAAGGAAAGAAAGGATTTCGTAGACATTAATGATTTAAACATAATAAATTACCTAATGAATAATAAATAAACAATAAACGCGATAGTGATATTCTGTTCCTATTTCGTACTTGAAACAATTCGAGCATGAAAACTTTTCGAACTTGCTATGCACCCACTACATGGCCTTAAGGGTGCAGTAGCATGTGTGCCTTTTGTAGTGGGGTACTGGTTTTCAACCACTGAGCCATTATGATTATCACACATTCCGGCACCAATTGGCAATGAACGCTTGTACCACGCATAATTGCGGCAATATTTCTGTTGTGTTGCGAAGCACGTATACAGGACGCGGGTGTTTGAAAAGTTACTTTCATTGCATTTCACTCGAAAACAAGCTCTTTAACGTTATCGCGTTAATAATCATATATGCGCCTTACGTCCCAAAACCACGATACGATAATGATGCACACCGTAGTGCGGGGCTCCGTATATTTCTACTGTCGGATGTTCTACAACGCGCATGGACATCGCGTAGTACACGGGCATCTATGATTTCACCTCCACCGAAATGCGACCGCCACGGCTGGGATCGAACCCGTGACCTTCGGGTCACCAGCCGAGCACCTTATCTTACGATTCACCGTGGCAGGCCGAAGACGTGAGATGTTATAGAGAAAACGACGATGGTGTACGACATCCGAGACGGTAAATTGCCCTTGTGTATTTCTGCTAATGGTTAAAAGGAGAGGAAACGATGACGCATTATAATACAGAATACACAAACATGCAATGTCTCATATCATCGACATTCACACTGATCGTCCAAAAGAAAGAGCCAGAAAAGGTGCGTTTGCACTCACGTGGAGGATAATGTACGAATCTCCAGAGTAGAAGCTCCCGTACATCTTGGGGTCGACAGGCTTCACCTCCAGCTTCTGCAACCGCAAAAAAAAAAAGATATTGAAGAGAATAAGGCGCTAAACCCCAAAGCGGGAAAAGACAGGTACGACAAGCATCGCAAGGTCAGAGTTTCTCGTAATGCGAGTGTTTGATCGAGCGCGCGTTTGTAGGCTTCAGCGGGCATCGCCCAGGCTTTTCGCGGTATAGCTGCTTGAGAAAGGCAGACTCGGCTGCACGTTTTCAGGTTTTTATTTTCGTTGTTTCAAGGTCGTTTGCTTTTGTTCGAATGCCATACAACCGCACCACGCTATCTTCCTGAATTGCCGTGTTAGCTCAGCAGCCAAGCTACGGACTATATATACGGCTACGATTACCGGCCACGTGCCCCAGTTTAGTGGGGACAAAACGAAAAAAATCAAAGTGTGTGCTTAGGGTTAACTGTGCATTAAGGAATTTTATATGATCGAATCCTATCTATAGTCACTCAGAAGGGCGTGTCTGGTGATGCATCGTTGTTATCACTCATAAAAAAGCAGCATTTGATAAGTTAGGTTACGCTGGCTGCCAATTTGTCCAGTGTGCAGACTATCTTTATGCTGCGATTTAAAGGTGAAAGCAGTTTTCACTTCATGACTATTTAAGGGACGAAGAGAAGATAGCAGCTCGTAGAAATAGAGTCGGATTGTTGAGCTTTCGATGCATGGTAATGAACACAATGTATCTGGAAACAAAAACATGTCGCGCCACCCTGCAACAGCTTGCGTTCTTTGAAACACAAGAAAGCGCATTTTCCTGTATGTTTGTGTATTTTACCTCTTTTTCTCAATTCAACGAAATCGATATGTGATGTATGCCGTGCTCATTGCGCTGTATTACGATCATTAGAAGCGAATGTTTACTGATCCTCATTACCATAAGAAGAATGTATGGAGAATGCATGTTAAATATACGCAATAAACAAATCCTCGTCTCTTGTGTTAAATCGTTCATCGATCAATTAATTAATTGTGAATACAGCAGTTGGTCTGTGTTGTTATTACAAAAGTGGTTGTTGGAACCTCTGAGTTGTGCTCCACCAGGGGCACTGCAACGAAGCTTAGCATTTCCGACCACACAACACAACGGACGTGTAGAGTAGTGCTGCCGGTTTTCTCGCCATCCCTGGCTCATTGTTTGACGCTAACTGAAAGGAAACACCACACGAAACAGCTCTGCAATACGGCATGCAAGGATACTGAACAAACTAGACACAACCCTATTATAGGGAAGAGTCCGGCGTCTCTATTAGCGCCCTACTTTGCTGTGTATTGTGCGTTATTGTTAGACGAACTCGCTCTGCGTTGCTGATGTGTACTGCGCCTTTCTGGTCACTTGTATTGAGAATCTACTTGTCCGATTCTTTTTTTTATTTAAAAGAAGTGGTGTATTTAGCATATCATTGTTTAGTACTTAGTAACACACAGCCGCTGTACACATCTGTTTACAGCCATTTTTGTGTTGACATTACACTGCTTAATAAATTTGTACGTTAAAGCCATTATGCCTAGCTTCTACAGGAGTTACAGGAGTTCTACAGGAGTTTAAGTTAACTGAGAGCAACTCTATATATGCCACAAATATTTGTTCGAACCTTCTGGTGATTGATATTATTCGCAGTTGCCATCTTACATTTTTACTTACTTTTTTTCTATAACTCACCCTGCAACCTTCATTTTGTTCATGATCGCTTTCACCGTCTTAGCAAGCACATAACATGCTACAAAACCTGTTAAGCTCAAAATTTATGCCAATATCTTCTCCTATTTAACGCTTCAACATTCATAATGACGGATTCATGCCTCACGTTCATGCTGATGCTACGCCCTATTAAGCAGCGAACTTTGTGCATTGTGACCTTTGCAATAGCTCGTATAAATACACACACTTTTGCTACTGTGTGACTATATATGAGCAAAACGAATCCCTAGCTCAGTAACCAATCGCTTGATTTGGCTGCTCATGCTATAGGCCGTATAGCATTCATCTGCTAGAAGTGCAATATTTAGCAGCACGTAAAGCAACCCGAGGTTAACACTTAATCTTGAGTTTCCCATCATTTACGGTCGGTCTCACAATTCTATCGAGGTTCACGGAAAGGCCCATAACTTATTATTCTTTTATCGCGGATAATTGACAGGGCTACTTTTTGTTCTTTATTCCACCAAAAATACCAAAATGACTAGCGTTAAAATGTTTATTGGATGGCACTCGTTGAGAATGCGAAATGGAGACAGTCAAGGCGGAGCACAGACTTTCCAAACGAGCAGCGTTCCTCCAGAAAGAATACGAAGAGCACGACCTGCTATAGCGTTCCAAGGTTCTCTGCACAGTGCATTCACGGATCAGCGGCCTCATCGTTGGGCTATTAGCGCACTTTAAGATGAACGTCTATTTTTAGGGAGCCGCGCGTATAAGACATTCTCACTGCATCAACAGAACGTTTCACGGCGACGCCATGCATGCGATGCCCCCAGACATCTTGAGTAACCTGGCTCAAACAACGGTCCATTGTCTTCACTTTAAGTGAAGATCCACCTTTTGCAAGAAGTCTGTTAATGATTGTTCATTACCTGACGGCACAAAAGAGAACGCCGTCTGTGTTATGACGAGGCTATTGAAACAAACAGCTTTTGCAACACTAAAAGTCACGTGTCGTGCAAATGAGCTGTAAGGCGCATTCTAATTCTACAAAGCGACCGCGACGGGACTCAGCTGCCAAATTTTTACCGAAATACGTGTGTGTACAAAGACAAGTCAGACTGGCCGCGAGACGCTCTCAAGCTCCAGCTGCTTAGCCGCTAAAGCAACCCACTGCGCGAGGGATGATATTTAAAGGGAAACGGCTGGCAAACAGTTTACAGCGAAGTCACCGGCAGCGCCGTCTTTTCGCGCCTTTCCATTTACATTCGGACGTGCGAAAACAAACACGACGCGACGAGAAAAAGTCGTGCTTTTTGTTGCCCCACGACAGGGGCGAACCGCGCCAGAGGTTTCGTGATGGTCGGGTGGAACAGGAAGAGAAGAAAATAAAAATGGAAGCGATGGAGGAAGCTGGGATGTCCGGCGTGCGTTAGGGTTGGTATGCGTCCGCGCGAGTTCTTTGGCGTCGACGGCTCAGGATGGGGTGGCGCGCACGATGCCCTTTAACTTCGAGGGATGTCCTTTTTCCGTCGAGTGCCCTTTCGTATGGCGGCGCAATGCGCGAATGGCTTCACACGCGTGCGTGCGCACGCTCTCTCTCTCTCTCTCTCTTCGTATGTATAGTACAATGACCGCCGCCATCGATAAGCGAGGCAGTAGACGTTCAATCGAAAGTCGTCCACCTCTTTGCTTTCTTTTAGGGGCGAAGCTCCTTAGGGCGTGGGCTGTGCGTCCCCTGTAGCCTGTATGTAGCCACCTCTAGTTTAGTTCTTGCAGTGTTCACTAGATGGCGGTACCGTCCCCTGTATGTAGCCACCTCTAGTTTAGTTCTTGCAGTGTTCACTAGATGGCGGTACCGTCTCCTGTATGGCATTCATTCATAAAAGTACAGACTGGCAAAGGGTCAAGCAGGAGTGCAAGGAACATTTATGGCTAAAAGGGAAAGTGGCAGGTCAAATGACACTCCTTGGTTTCGTGTACTTGTGGACGGGAGCAAAGGCCAGAGAGGAAAACCAGGCAATGGTAGAGTGTATATCAAAGGGCATTCAGGAGTTAGGAAGAGAGTGCGAGATAATTATACTAGGAGACATGAATGCGCACATAGAAGATATAGATGGGTATACCGACCCGACAGGCAAAATGATCATGGATATGTGTGAAAGGCTTGATCTGATCATTTGCAACAGTACCGAGAAGTGTGAAGGGCAAATAACATGGGAGGTAGGAAGGCTTCAGTCGACGATAGATTATGCACTGATGTCACATAGGATGTATGATAAGCTCAGGGAAATGCACATAGATGAAGGTGGCTCCAGAAGTCTGGGTAGCGATCACAAACGTATCAAGCTAAGTTTTGGAAGAGCAGTGAAAGTGGGAAGGAGACAAGATGAGCAACTACAGGAAAATTTTTATCCAGAAAGGCAAATTGAAATAGCCACTAAACAAATTGAGAAAGTAATCACGGAGGATAATAAGACAGTGTGGACATACACGAATCTAATTAGACTCTTTGAGATAGAGCTTGCTAAGACGCGTAACAAGTCACCCCGGAAAAGAAGACGCAAACCCAAAAGTTGGTGGGATGAGGAAGTTGAGAGAGCCATAGCAAAACTCCAGGAAGCCTCTAGGGAACACAGACGTGCTAAGCAGCAGGGTGAACCGACAGATGATGTGGATAGAAAATGGGCAACCTTTCTAAGCTGTAGAAGGGATGCATCCCTTCTTATCAATGAAAAGATTAGAAGGAAGGGAGCTCAGTGGCTGGCAGAAGTACATAAAAAAGATAGAAAGGCAGCTGCGAAATTTTGGAACCATCTAAACTCCCTAAGAAATGAGACGAGCCTAGAGCAGAACTTTATAACTACAGCCCAAGGTGCTAGGCTAGAAGGGGACGAAGCTATTGAATATATAAGAACAAGGGTGACAGAAAAATTTCAACAAAGAAGTACTTTATGCACCACAATAGACAAAGACGAATTAAGTGGTGCAATGGCTCCATTTTCACAACAAGAGTGGGAAAGGGCTGAGAAAAGGGTTCCTAGTAGTACATCAACAGGCCCAGATGGCATTCCAATTAGGCTGATAAAAATATTAGGTCCGAAGTCTAAGCAGGCTTTGAGAGAGGCAGTGAGTACAATAATAATCGATGGTGAAGTTCCCGATGGATGGAAACTTAGCAGGATGAGCATGATCTATAAAGGAAAGGGGGACAAAGCTGACATAAACAATTACCGTCCTATAACAGTGACATCAGTGGTCTACAGGCTGGCGATGCAGATTATAAAGGAAAGACTGCAGGCGTGGATAGAGGATGAGGGGGTGCTGGGGGAACTGCAGAATGGGTTTCGGAAACACA